ATATCTTGATCCACTTAGAGGGGACATAAGAGGAGCACTTTTGTGATATTTATAAGGTGTTGGATCGGCAGTGGGAAGTTGGTTTAAAACTGAAGTGATTGAAGTGAATATTTGAGTCCAAAAACATGATTTATCTTGAATACCATATTTCTTATAAAGGTTTACAAATTGATTCTAATAAACTTGTGGATGTTCTAAAGTATAGTGCACTTTATCTCTCTCCCCTTACTTGGAAAAAAGGCAATTGTTTGATGAGAAATCCTTTAGTATTTATTTTATCCCTATTTATCCCCCAATATTCTATAAATTCACAGTGAACTATATTCAAATCTCATCCCATGATCACATGCACTACATAAAGTTCCCTACTCCGAATTCTGTAAATGATATGTAACACTTCTTAAGCAAGGTGTAATATCTTGGTTAATTCATTGATAATCTCTAATCATACTACACTGTTATGAGTATTATTGCAATTGTCAACATCATCCTTCATCCAGTCTATGAACTAAGAGTGGGTGTTTATAGATCTCAAAGAGCTATTGATAACTACTCTAATTTTAATGTATTTTGATTTCACTTGATCTTTCATTTTGCATGTGGATGCTTTTAATATCAATCTTGGAGGTATGTTGATACAAAAGAGCTTGAGTTTGCTTAGTCAATGCCATCCCATTGCATATATTAATTATACATTACAACTAATAAAAATGAATTACTCCACAACAAAGAAAAAGTGTTTACTAGTAGTTTAGGGGTTTTAGAAGCTTCATAGATATTTATATGGTTCTCAAACATTACCAAAAGGTGATCATGTTATAATTACTTTGTTATTAAAATGGAAGCACTTAGTTGGTTATATTGTTCAACCCTAAAGTTTCATATACTTTATTTTTAGGTTGTTCATTAGTGTTATGGTTAATACTAATACCCTTTCTTGAGCTTTTGTCCCTTCTTCACTCTCCTCTTGTTACTAATGAGCTTATTGTTCTAGTGTCACTAGATTTTCTGGACAAAGATTTCATATTGTTAGCAATTGTTATACTTAATATTCAATGTCTAAAAAATACGGAGCAAACCTTCTCTTGATAAGGTTCATGAGGCTCAAAAGGTTAGAGGTATGAATCCAAAAGCTTCATGATGGATTTGAGAATCCCACATCACTTGTTGATAACTTGCCGTTTCACCATTTATATTCTCAATATTGCCTTGAAGACAACTTTCATTATTTTATGGGGACAAATTTTAATGATCATTTATAGCTGGTGGTACCTTCAATCTTTATTCTATACTTTTTCCATGCTTACTATGATTATCCTTTTCTAAGTGGGCATATAAGATATTATTGGAAAAGCTATGCAAGTCTTTCAATTGGCCAAAGATACAACATGATGTTATTCAGTATGTGCATAGCTGCATTTGGTATCAGGTTCTTATCACTCCTCTTATGCTACAAAAAGACAGTTGGAGTAAATTGCAATTTCCTATCAGTTTGAGTTGATGGTGTTGATTTGATAAAGCCTTTTCTACAGTTGACTATTAGCGATAAGTATATCATTATTGCTTCTGACTATTTGACTTGCCAAGTGGAAGCTAGTGCTTTTGCTATTACATTTACAATTATTGTTGGATATTTCCTTCTCAATTAAGTGGTGTTTTAGCATTTCTGCTAAAGTGGATTCTCTCTAAAAATAATTCTACATTTATAGTTGAAGTATTTCATGTTTTAACATTTAACTAGGGATACACCACACTTTTATAAGTGTTTATCATCCACAGATAGATAATTTAGTGAAATGGGTTATTTGGACATTCAATGGGATCATTGTGAAGTACATGAACTTCTAGCATTTCGATTGAGATGGATATTTACTATTTCTTTGATATGCATATTCATAAGGATACAAAGTTCTGTTAATGCTTCACTAGATAAACTTTTATATGGTTATAATTTGATATTGCTAATGGAGTTAAATTTACCTTTGCGATTGCTATAAACTATTGATGATATGTTTTGGGATCAATATTTGATAAGCATTCTTCCATTAGTTTGAGTGGAGTTTATTGAACACTTAGGTTGCATACAAGTGGGATAATAATGACATTACAACTCCTATCATTATCCATTTGCAAAGTATAAAGTGGATGTTTTGGTATTAGTTAGTTTTCCCAATTTTACGATATATGGTTTTTCTAAGGAACTCTCTACTTAATAGAAGGGACTATACCAAGTGTTGCGGCAAGTGTACAATTACAATGTTGTACACTAATATTAGCAAAGTGTGTGTGTGTCTCTCTCTCTATATATATATAAAAGTACTTTACTAGATAAGAGTACTTTACTACTCAATCTTTCCTTTGAATAAATGCAATTACAATGTCATTTTTGGCTAAGAGAAAATATGCATAATATCTTGACTTGCACATTATTATATCAATAAAAATGGTTTTTTATATCAAATTCTTTACAAAAACCCATTTTATATATGTAAACAAAATGTGGCTGTTACTGTGGCTTGTATTATTTTATTTATCGAAGCTCTGTGAGTTAGGGTTTGCAATGGAGGATACATACATATGAAAAATGGCTATATATTTAGTTCTAAAAATTCTAGCTCCTTTGAATATAAGAGTGTAAAAAATTTCTTAAAGCTTGAAAATACTCTTTTAAATCATATTGCTGCTATATATTATATATGTTCAAAGATAAAGTTACTTACCAATTTTAAAATTTGAAACCTAGTTAAATGGCTTAAATGGTCATAATTTGATCAGAAAATTTAAATAAAGTAACTGTAGAAAGAAAGATAAATCTTTAAATTTTTTTTAATTTATAAATATTGTCTAAGAAACTATAAAACTGTTATACATTTATAACTCTTTTAATTTTCTTTAATTAAAATCATCTGTATTCTTTTATTAGCTTAGAAAAAATTTAATTTATAAAAATTAATACTAATACACTATTAAAGTTCTTGTTAGTTATATATTTTTTAGCAAAATTAAAACTTTTGAACTTTTATACAAATTTAATGAACTTAATTAGTGAATTAATTATTACCTGATTTACTTAAACATTGTTAAATTCATAAAAGACGTTATTCTTTCCCATGCCAATTGTTATGAATTAATACAAAATACAAAATAAAAAAAATGTAATAACGATCGAATTAAATAAGCATAATAAGAAAAGTCTTTTTCAATCATATTTAAAATAAGCATATCTTAGAATAGTAATCAAAAAAAGAATTCATCTCTTCTGGATTGAACGTTTCAAAACACCTATGTTTCCATTTGTGGTGTCCCTCAAAAATTCCTCCGGGACACGCGGATTTTCCATCTCCAACGGCTGGTTCTCTCGCCTCGGTTGCACCGGTGCTTCAAATCCTTGAGAAGCATACCTTTTGATCCGCCAGGTTATCAATATCCCAGAACAAACGCCGATAGCTGGAAGAGCGTACGAAAGCATGCTGCCAGAGTTTCCTTTCGAATGCGCTGCTGCACTGGTAAGGCTGCCGATGGAAGTGTTTTGAAGTATCATAGGAAGCCCACCGACAAGAGTTGGCAGAAGAAAGTCGACGAAGAAGCCGACGTTGGTGGCAGCCAGACCGTAGTTGATCACGTAAGATGGAACTGGCGAGAAGCGCGCGAGGAGAACGAACTTCCAGCCATCTCTCGCCACACCATCTCTTATGACGCTGAAGTATTTGTTCTTGCGCACAAAGCCAGACAGAGTTTCCGAGCTCCGGAATAGCAGTCTGCAAAAACATATATAGTATAAGGCTGGAACTATAAGAAGAAAACTAAGACAAGAACTAAAGAAGGAAACAAACCATACAAAAGCCTTTGGCTGGAACTATGTAAAGTCTGGAACTATAAGAAGCAACAAAAAAGAAACAAGAAGGCTAGAACTGAAAGAAGAAAGAACTAAGACGAGAAAACATCCAAGGCGAAAGCTAAGAGGAATGAAAACATACCTTCCAAGCCAGAATGCTAGAGCAGCTCCCAAGACTTTGGCCGAGAAGACGCAAGCCACTCCATGGACGAATCCAAACAAGAAGGACGCGGCGGCCTCGAACAAAACCGCGTAGGGGAAGCACGTCGCGATGGCGAGGGTATGAGCCAGCACAAACACTGGCATTGCCCATCTTCCAAGGCGCTGGGAGACGCCCTGGAGTGCTTCCAGCATAGCCTGCCGATCGCCATTGTAGGCGTACAAGATCGAGGCATAGATCCCAGCTGTTGCGGTGGCGAGCGCGAGGAGAGTAAGCTTGGCCCCCTGCGCCATCAAGAACCCTAGAATCCGCTCGCGAGCGGCGCAATGCGAGGCCGATACCGCTACCTGGGGTCGATTCCCGCCGAGAAATCGCTCGATCGGATCGTTAGAAGCCCGATCGCCAAGAAAGAGAGGATCGCCGCCGCGCCGGCGTGACCGAGAAGAACACGCAAATAAACAAGCGCGCTGCGAATATCCAATATGATGCTTTCTAAAGCATATTCTTTTAGATAAAAACTTAGGCAAAGATCGCTACCGTTGATTTAGGGCACCATGGATAGCTTGCATTTCGCGCTGGGAGCTCCTCTATGGCGGAGCCCAGGGTTTCATCGATTCAACCGGCGGCAATGGCCGGCGCTATCGAGAGATCATCTGGCACCACCTCGCTCGGTCGTGGCGAGAATCGACGCGGCTCAGAGCGCGGATGAGCTCCAGGAGCAGCTGGCCGCGCTCGTGGACGAAGCAAGATCGGCGAGAATGCGAGGTAATCTCTGTGTTTACTCGGAACGGGGAAGAAATTTCTTCCTGTGAATCCAGCGGACAAGGCGCGGGCAAGATTTATGCGGCTAACGGAGAGTGTCGAGCAGATGAATCTCCGCGCCGCGGCGGAGATTAAGGCCGGGAATGAGGACGCGGCCAGGCAGCTGATCAAGGAGAAGAGGAATGTAATGGCTGCGCTAGAGCTGTCCAAGAAGCGAGCCGCGTTATTGGAAGAATTCGCGACAAAGCTCAACCAGGTATTCTTCTTATCATCTTTACAAGCATAGAACTATCTCTTCCTTCTATTCTTACAGGTTATTTCTTTGAAAGAAACTCGTTTGATGGCGTCCCTATCGTTGGGAGAGCTCAGCGATACGACGACCACTTCCAGTGTGCGAATTGTTCCTCCAAAAGATAGAGTGCTGATCGTCCCTCCAAAAGAGAAGGCAACTGGCAGAGACGATCAATGTAGCAGCTAGTTTGGCATCACCTCCGCGTCCAGGACCTCGGGGCCCAGCCTGATGGCATTGATATAATTCACGGGGCTGTGAGCGGCGATTCCCGGGAACAAGAGACCAACCAGCCGAAACATCGTCGACGCCAACGTCTCTTTGTAAGCTTCACCGAACTTGTAGTGCAAGAGAAGGCTCTGGAGGAGCTCCCAGGTTGCGACGGCATGGTCGGGAAGCAGCTGGTTAGTCGACAAGCTTTTCGCTGTAGGCTCCTCTTGGACGGTCTACAACAGCACGAGTCAGTGAAGAAAACACGCAGAGGCGATCTTACCTCGCCCCCGTAGCTGCTGCCGTAGAAGAAACAGGGTCCCAGGTGCTTGAACTGGAACGCTAGATCCTCGTACGGAAGGCGAGGGACAAGATCGTTGGAGTAGACAACTCTGAAGAATCGGTTCTCCGGATGGTTGAGGTTGACGGTCATGTCAGCAGCGAATTCGGTGTCGCCAGCTTTGGGCTGTCCAAAGGTGTAAACTCCGGCCAGCCTGCTCGTTACTTGGTTCTCGTTGGCGTGAAAGAGGAAGGAAGTGAAGACCGTGGCAAGCGCGCCCCCGAGACTGTGGCCGGTGATATAAACTTTGGCCTCCTTGTGAACTGCTAGAAGCTCCTTCAGCGTGAGACAGGCAGCGTCGTAAGCGAGAAGGCGTCTGTTCTCCGCGGTGCCAGCTTCGGGAAGGCCGGATAAAAATGGTCTCTGCCGCTGCTTCCCCGGCTCTTCACCGGAAGTTTTCTTCTCGTCGTCCTTGTCCGAAATGGTATTGTCCGACTTCTCGTCATTTTCAAGCTCGTGGTCTTCTAACGCTTCCTCGGTGCTGTAGAATTCCGAACCATCCCCACCAGTATCAAAAGTTCTTGCTTCTTCCTCGTGATCGGGTAAACTATGGTGCTCCGCTGCTTCATCGTCTGGCGTGGTCTTTTCTTTCGAAAGCTTGTCAGCGATGTTTCGCCTGAGCCTGGTGAAAGTGGACATGTCCTGTCGATCCACCAAGCTGAGAGCCTCAAGGCAGCCAACGTGAACTCGTCCTATTCCAGGGAACTCGTACCACGAGAAATCGAAGCACGAGCTCCAGTCGTAAGCGTTGAAAGGCACCAGTCCTTGGAAAGCTACGATGATCGCCTGGGCATTCTCGGCTCTGTCCATCGCGATCATGAGCCGGGTGGGCTTGCTTGGCTGATACTCTGGCCGGAAAAAAAGCACGGAAGAACTTACGTTAAGCTGCGCAAGAACAAGAGCTACTTACTGTTGATACACTCGAAGACATCCACGGCGTGCATCTATAGATCAAACAAGAAGAGAATTTTACGAGCTCGCAAAGTTTCCAGAGTTCTTACCTTCCAATCCTCGGTGACAACCTTGGCTATAACGTGAGAGTTCTCGTACGCAAGCTTGGAAGCCATCATACAAACGTCGGCGATGAGCTTGGATGCTGGGCTCTCGCTAGCGAAGAAGCTGCTGTGATCCCTGAATTCGTCGCAGCTCTGGTGGAGTAAGAGGTCTGTGCGTGGATCGAGCAGTCCTACAAAGCTCCAGTATTCATCGGACTCCTCCACTGGAGTTGTTAGGCCTGGAGAAACAACGATTTTAGAGAAGAGAATCTGGAGCGAGAATTTACCAGTTCCAGTGACGAGCTTCATTCCCATCTTGAACAATCCCCCATTCACATGAAAGATATTGAGCCAGAGCTCCACGAATTTGCCCGCCATGGCCAGGCCCCTGGCGATGGCGAGCAGCAGCACCATCATCCACATCGCGAATTTCGCCTGCCAGCTGCTGTCCACGGCCTCCCGAAGCGATGCCGCGCAGCGCATCGACGGGGCCGGGGCGTCCGGGAAGAGGGAGAGGAAGACATTGAGCAGGCCGCAGCCGCGCGGATCGAAAATGGCGTAGTTCTCGCCCGCCGCCGCCGCCGCCTTGCGAGAATCCGTGACATCCATACCTCTCCAGGCGCCGATTGGTGGGAGCGATGGATCATTCTCGCTGCTCTTGACGACGGCATCCCAGCTTTGGGCGCCAAGAAAGAATCTCTCACGCTTCTAGGGCAAAATCGCCTCCAACGTGGCAAGACACGTGGGCTAGTCATTGCTAGGGTTCTTAAACGACGTGGTTCGATTCCCGCCCTTTTTTTTATCACAAGTCTCTTTCGCATTAGCGCTTCCATTCACGAGATGCTTCCACAAGGGATTTATTTTGGATCCCTCTTAGCTCCAAATCATCCTAGGCGCTGTTCTTCCCTGCCGCCGCTGCTTTGGCGCCAGAGAAGCTCGAGCATTGTGGCCATGGTAGCAACAACAGGTATGAGATTTTGCAAGGTTTCGATCGATGTGATGTGAAATTCTTTAGATTCTTCCAAGATCGTTCCCGTTCTTTCGATCTCCGAGGTTTGTGTGCCTTTTCGTGCTGGATCGATCTACATTTGGCTATTTCAGGTCACCGAGAGGCTCAAATCTCACTCGCACGATGCCCAGAAGACCTATCGAGCTATGTACTCGAGCCTCATCGATGGAATTACGACCGATCCCGCCGCCATGGTGATCCCGATGGACGATCATATGGTCCATCGCGGGCATGGCGTCTTTGACACCGCAACCATCGCTGATGGGTAAGAACTTCCTTCTTTGTTTGTTTGGCTTTGTTTTTCTTCCTTGTGTCTAGCAAATTGGCGCTCTCTTGCCCATTGTTCATTGTCTCTTTTCTTTTGTCCTGAGATCTAGCTTGTCAACTCTTGCTTGTCTTCGTTGGAACTTTCTTACTCGTAGAACATTTTTTTTCTCCAACAGCTACTTGTACGAGCTTGACGCGCATTTGGACCGGTTCCACAAGTCCGCCGCTGCGGCGAAAATTCAACCACCGTTCGACCGTGCTACCATGCGAGAAATTCTTATCCAGACGGTGGCAAGCTCTGGCTGTAAGCTGGGATCACTTCGCTACTGGCTCTCAGCTGGACCTGGGGGATTCGGACTATCATCCTCCGAGTGCACCATGTCGACGCTCTATGCCGTGGTCCTGTCCTTGCCCGCGATCCCCGATCCCGACATGGGTGTGACAGTGATAACAGCGTCCACGCCAATGAAGCACCCCCAGTTTGCAACCATGAAAAACGTCAACTATCTCCCGAATGCACTGTCGAAGCTGGAAGCCGAGAGCCAGGGGGCGTTTGCAGCGATTTGGCTCGACGACGAGGGGTTTGTCGCAGAAGGTCCCAATGTGAACGTCGCGTTTATCTCCAAGTCGCGAGAGCTGCTCGTTCCGGAGTTTGACAAGATACTGTCGGGATGCACGGCAAGGAGAACAGTAGCTCTTGCGCCGAAGCTCGTGGAGAGCGGAGTTCTTTCGGCCGTGAAAGTAACGAAGATCTCGCCGGAGCAAGCCAAAGACTGTCCCGAGATGATGCTTATCGGCAGTACGCTGCCTATTACTCCTGTTGTCAAATGGGATGGACAAGTCATTGGAAACGGTATGTGGAGTGTAGAAGTCGTTTCTCGTGTTCTTACTTACCAGTGCTTTCAGGTGAGGCTGGTCCCGCGACAATTGCTCTACGAAATCTTGTAGTCGATGACATTCTTAATGGACCATCAGCCTTAAGAATCCCCGTACCATACACTGGTGAAGCTTAAAAAGGTGAGAGCTGTGATTGCTATCAGACGGAACTGATTTATTCATAAGTTTGTATAATAATGTAACTTTTAAGTATGCTTAGCTTGGCTTTGAGATAGGGTGTGGTTTGCAACACCAAACTGCTTGATGGTTCTCGCAGGTTCGTCCCGTTATGGAGTGGTATGCTGTCAAGAAAAGCTCGTATCATCAGGTACTCCTTTTTTTTCTAGTCGCAAACTGACACTTGTGGCGTTCTGAAGATTCAATGGAAACTCGGGCAGAAAAAAAGAATCTCGAGTTTTCATTGCAGCAGCGACCATTGCAAGTAGTTCTAGTTTCTCCCCAGGTACTGGGCTCTCCCTTTTTAATTTCTATCAGCACTTTAACATCTTGTAGATTCCTGGAAACACTGGAACTACTGCTCGAACTTGTGCAGCTGTACTAGCGGGGCTACATCTTGTAAAGGTACACGCAAATTTTTCTCACAATGCAATCTTAGTACTAGTCTTGCTTTTTTAATCTGCACAGCCCCTTGGATTTTCTATAGAAGATTCCAAACTGAAGCGAGCTGGGCTTGATTATTGGAAGTAAGAAATTCCACCCTTTCTTTCTTTGTCTTTCATTTCCCATGGTGGCAATTTTCCAACAGGTATATAGTTGTCAAAGTTCACGAATCCTGGCCACATTTTCTGGACTATTTTAGACAACAGGTCTGTTTGTTTTCAGAAATCTCTACGAGTTTCATGTTTGCGTTACACAGGAAGGCGAGAAGCGTTTAATCGCTTACACAAAGACTGGGAAATGCTCCTACTTGGTAAGCACTATATAAGCTTTCCATTCGATCCAAAACTCCTTTGATTGGCAGGACATGAGCTACAAACCGGGGGACTGGCTTGTGTTTGGATCCGAGACCGACGGATTAGCTCCCGAGATCCACGAAGAGTGCTCCACTGGAGTCCACGCCGGTGGCACTGTCCGCATCCCAATGAACGATGCATTCGTCCGGTGCCTCAACTTGAGCGTATCAGTTGGGATTGGAGTCTACGAAGCATTAAGGCAGCTCGATCGAGGTAGAGCACTAGGCGATATAGAAAGTGAGAGAGAGCTGCCAAGAATGCTGGAAGACGCCCACGCAAGCGTGGATGGCTTTCCTTGAGAAACCCGTTGAGCAAATCTAACAGTCAAAGTCAACAAAGAATATTCATAGTCCATCTGGTAGTCAACCTAGGGTTTTTTTCTTCTATTTTTGAAAAATACTGAAACAAAGAGTTTGGTTATTCTTTGTTCTGAGAATCTCTTCATTTGTATGCATATGATTCACACAGCGTAGCTTGCCAAAAGCATCACGTGGAACCATCACGTGAATCCAAGTTAAGGATTGTGCCAAATCCTTGAGCGTGGAACCAAAGCCGGAAAAACTTACAAAGTAATTTCGAGTCAGCCAAATCCTTGTTGAGCTTCAAGCTCCCTGTGAAAAGGGGAAAAAAGGAAGAAAGAGTTTAAATATGTCTAAGATTTGAGAGATTTCAACCTCCTGACCATCTCTTTGGAGCAGCTAGATAGCCAAGCCTCTATGGCTATTTTATAATCTTAACTATAATAGTTATAAAATATTATGATTATATTTTTAAAACTAGTTAGACATTGTTACTTATGCATTTGATTACTTTATCTGGCCGTTTAGCTCAGGACTATATGTATGTATGTATGGTCATGACATAGAGTTCCTGGGGACTAGCCACCTTCAAGATCACAAGTTTTATCGGTGTCAAACACGGCACATTGCGACCATGATCGACTGGGTGAAGAACATTCGGTCCACCTCCTCTCTAGTGATGACTCGGATCGTTTCAAAGCCCCATTGCCTGCTATAGGAGATTTCTTGTCTAAACTAGGATACCTTTGTGCTATCCCTCGCTTGGACACTAATCAGCTGCCTTTTGAAGATGATGCTGGTTTGAAATAGTTCTCAAACAATTGAGCTTTGAGTGTTGCAATGATGTCAGAATACCATGGCTATTCATGGTTAACGTAGTTGAGCACCTAGTCTCAACGAGGAGGTTCACGGTGGTGCATTGTTAACATTGCTTGGTCAAGAACTTTTTCCAGCTGCCTACCTCTATCCACTTTCAATCTTGACAAGCTTTTTTTCTCTCTTCTAGCTTAGGAGAACCTTTGTGGAACCTGGCCCGCAAGCATCAGGCTACATATATAATTGAGAGCATGGCAGCCACTTTAAACGAGAGTGAGGAATATGTCCAGTACCGTTCTTCCACTGACCATTAAGCATTTGTTGTGTTGTCCATATCGTCAATGTCATGGACAGCCAATTGCTACAGTATTCACTGTAGCCATTAACATCAACACACGTTGGAGATTAAAAAAAACATATTTCACGTATATAAGTATTCAAAGGTCTCATTGGTGTTGTGCATCCCTTCTTTCTTCTTCTATTGTTCTGGTACCATGGCACAATCTAAAGGCGCTAGTGAGTGATAACTTTTGAACTTGCTGAATAAGCTCATAATTTTGTTTGTGTATCTAGATGTGGCTCTGGAGCAAGTATTTGGGCTGAAAGGTCCGTTTCATTCATTCATTAACTGTTTATACATGGTCTCTCAACGCCCCAGGAAACATGAGATCGTTTGGATTGTTTTCATTCATACTTAGATATGTTTTCTATATTGCAGGAGGGTCTATTACAGAAGGGACTCAAAAGGATAAGAAAGACATCCAGAGTGTGCTGGACAATTGGCACGATGATCTTCTTGATGATACCAACCGTAAACAGGTACTCTATTAGACTTTTCTATGATCACAATCGATGTCATTGTTATTCTACCAGAGAACTCTACTTGGTCCATTCAACACAAGAGATAGAAATAGCTCCTTCAACAAGGATGGATGGAGGCTTGACAGTCAAAGTAATGGTCCTTTTGTGAAGTTCCCTAAAGAAGATCCCGACACTAAGTACCAGAACTTTGCCATCCAGTGGCAAAAGTCAGTCTATTCATGTGTGGTTGCTCCGCTCGGCCAAAGCCCCCGACCTGCACACGACCTTATCATAGAAGCATTCAATAAGAGCATGGCGGAGTTAAAAGTTGCTGTTATCAAGAGGAAGTCTGGAAACACTTGGGAGATAGTGATGGAAAAGTAATCTCCTGTTCATTATGTTTGTACTTAAAAGCATTATATTATATGTTTCATTTGCAGCTCTCTAGAAACACTTGGGAGACAGTGATGGAAAAGTAATCTCTTGTTCATTATGTATGTTTGTACTTAAAAATTATATGTTTCATTTGCAGCTCTCTACTTTGCAAACTTTTCGACCCCATAGCCGCGCTCTTGGCTGCGACAAGGAGACTCCAACCATGATGGGCTTGATGGGAGACGGAGGATGATAAGCTTGCTCCAATGCTGGGCTTTTCAATCGAATCACAGCATGATCGATTTACAATAGCAATGGTGAAGAGAATGCCATATCGAGCCACTCCAATCACGTGGAACACGCTGCTGGCGACTTTATAACTCCTGGCGGTGTCATGAAGGGACTCCCGAGACTCTCTACTATCCAACACTCCCACTTACGATCAAGTGCTTGATCCACACCTGGATCTAAGCTTGAATAGCAAGGATGAGATGATAGAACATGGGGAGTTTATATAAAAAACTCATCAATCAAGTTGTGTTCTTGGTCTTGTTCTTGTTTGCACACACGCTCACTATTATGGTTTCAATCTTGAGTTAACATGTGGTCTTAGCTTTGAACTGCCACGCTCCCACGTCCTCTATTAACTGGCACTTGGGAGGACTGGGAAGCTTCTGCTTAGGAGTTGTTGCATGATCCTAGTTTAGAAGAACAATCTCCCATAGCGATGGTGATGGTCAATTTGACACGAGAGAGGAGGTGGATGGAATGTTCTTCACGGGGTCGCAATGTGGTGCTCGTGCTCCAGAGGATTTTGATAGCGTAGTCACAGTGTGGTTGCTAATGCTCAAGAAGATTTCAATAGCATAACCACAGTGTGGTGCTCATGCTTGGGTTCAATAGCGGCAGCTTCTAAGTCCTCTCTTCCTCCCCCTCTCTGTTCGTAAAGGTGACGCCAACACCAGCACCAGCACCAGCAGAGCTCCCGGGATTAAAGGTATCTGACAGTGGATTCTTGACAACTTGTCTTGGAATGTGCAGAATAACTATCACTAGAGCGGAGGTGGATGGAATGTTCTTCACCAAGTTTCAATGCGATTGGGTGCCGATATAACTTGCAAGGGAGTAATGTTCATTGTGATATGCAACAAAGATCAGATCAACTCATATCTCTAGTTCCAGAGACCTTTACTCCACTTTCTCATTCTTGACAATGATCTTTTCAAGGTAAGGAGGGAGAGGTAGACAACTGCCCTGTTCTAACAGGTTCTCTCAGCTGTGGTGTAGATGGTGCTGGATGGCGCTCTCCATTGTTTTGATGTGATTGTGGAGCTTACTTGCTTCCTAAGTAAAAGAAGGTGGCGTCCTCCACGAATCTCTTAAACACACAAATCTCTTGAAAAAAGAAGCATGTTATCTGTATCGTCGTGATGATTCATGCCAAGCACATCGAGTGAGTGATCATCAGCTCCTCCTAGTCTTCCACTCGTGGAGCCTTGAGAGGCAACCGAGAGCACAGCAAGATGCCACCCCCATGATCGCCAGTGCCGGCATTACTCTCGAGGGAACTCTGGGCAGCCAGTGGACGATGACGCTGATAGCGACTGACGGCACTGCGTACAACGAAGCCACGAGAATTCCCTCGGCACCGAACTGCCCATCTGGCTCACGATGAAATGCGTGGCCACTCCGGGGATGGATCAATGGGACCTGGTACAAGATGCTGAAAATGCCCCCGGAGATCACGAAGATGTAGAGCGTGATGGCCGCTCCACACCAAATCTTGGGATCTTGGAGGAAGGGAGCTTTGAGCGCTGCCGGGGAGAGGCACGCAAGGATCACGGCGGTGCATGCGAGCGCGATCCGTCTCCCGGTGGAGAGAGGCGGCGAGAATATCTCCCCGATTTCTATGCCGGATTTCGAGCGGATCGTGAGCGCTAGCTGCTGCGCGGTGCTCGATCGCGGTAGGATCTCGATGCCGCCACCGCTGGGTGGGAGATAGAGAACGCAAGGAATGTGAAAACCTGTGACGTTGAAGCTATGGAGCGCGACGGGAGGAGACTTCGAGGCTTGCATGGACGCGAAGAAGATCGATGTCGAGCCGGCGTGATTCTTGAGAAAGGAGTAGGCCAGAGAGGAGAATTCGGACTGGAAGAACTCGTCCCTGCCGCTGGCCGCGCTGGAATCGAAGAAGAGAATGTAGAATCCCCGCCCTAGCCCCGATCTTCCGAGAATTAGCGACTCTAGGGAGGAATCCTGGAGCTCAATGACGCCATCGCTGGAGGCCGCTCTCAATCTTGCGAGCTCCCTGACACGATCGTCGCCTAGAAGAGCGCCCGCGGAGGCGATCGTAGCCATCAAAAGGACGAAAGAGGCGGCACACATTTTCTTGGTGACCTACAAAAGCGCCAAGAATTCTTTCGTGACACGTGTAGTGTGTCATGGTGTCACACGTGTACAGTATCGTGGCATAACACGTGGAGATGGAATGGATATGACGTGGATGTCCACCGTGGCAGAATCTTCGTTGGAAACCTAGATTGGCGTCTCCATCACTCCAGTTTCCAGTCGGGGAGTCAGGCGGTAGGGTAGGCATTCAAGGCGCAGAGGATTATTCTATGGCGCACCAGTAGGAGCATCTGATCTGGGGCATTGCGATGGAGCATCATAAATGTGGAGGAATGAGCACAATCTTGAGGTACGAGAGCGATTTCCTGGCGATTTAGCTTGATCTGGGTTAAGATTTCGCGAGTATTCTTGCTAGAAGCTCGTTTCTTCGCGAAAATTCTAGCTCTTGATCTCGCATTTTGATTGATTCCAAGCTCGGGTATACAGGGATTCATGACTTTGCGGCCCGGATTTTGCTCGCAATGGGCAGCTTGGGAGGCTATGCCAAGGATCCAGAGACTGGAAAGCTCGAGAAGGCGGACGAGCCGCCCAAGAGGAACGATACTTCGTTGATAAGGTTGGTTTCCTCGTGACTTTAAAGTAGTAGCTTTTACGTGTTTGCTCTCGGTGTTTTCAGCTTGATTGCAGCTGTTTCCTATGGATTCGCGTCCTTGGCCATGGTTTTCCTTAACAAAGCTGTGCTTATGGAGTATCCGTATTCTATGTCTCTTCTAACGCTCCAGGTACCTTCATATCCAGAGACAGGAAAAGAAAAAAACATTGACAGTGGTTTTTTAATTTGCTCTTCTGTTCTTCCAGCAAGTTGCGACTGTCTTGCTGTTGCATCTAGGGGGCAGCTTTGGGATTTCACAAACTCCACAGTTTTCTCTCAAAATTGCGAGAAAACTTCTTCCGCTGTCCTTTTTCTACAATGCGAACGTTGCTTTCGCTTTGGCGAGCCTTCAGGGAGTGAACATTCCAATGTATATCGCTCTTAAAAGACTGACACCACTGGCGGTTCTCGTGACCGACATTTTTACTGGCAAGGGAAAACCGGCTACACAAGTAAGATTTTCGCGCTAAATCTTTCACCGATTTGATTGATGACTAACTGTTTTTTCTTGTTCAGGTTGCTTTGTCAGTCATGACTACTGGTTTTGGAGTTCTTATCGCGGCTCTAGGAGATTTTTCATTCGATTTAGTAGGCTATGCATTGGCCTTGACATCGGTTTCCTTCCAGGTTTGCTCTTGGAGGTTTTAAAACTTATTGCCAAGAAAACTGATTTTGGTTTTTCTAGACTGCATATTTGGTGCTCGTGGAAAGGTCTGGAGGGGAGGACGGCATGTCCTCCACAGAGCTTATGTATTATAATGCTCTCCTCTCGCTTCCATTTCTGGCAGTTTTGATAATCTTCACTGGAGAAGCTGGCACTGCTCCGAGGCTGCTTTTTTACAAGGTTCGACTTGTCTTGCAAACTAAAGAGTCTAATCCTGATCTCGCTTTTCTCAGATCCAATCGATTTACTTCTTTGTCATCGTTGCTCTCTCGCTGATTATGGGAATTGTCCTCAACTACACCATGTTTCTTTGCACAATCGTAAACTCTGCGTTGACAACCACGATTGTGGGAGTGCTTAAAGGAGTCGGATCCACGGTAAACACTCTGGTTTTCAATATTTCATAGCTCACGGCTTGACGCTTTGACAGCTTCTTGGTTTCATAGTCCTTGGTGGCGTAGAGGTTCACGCTCTAAATGTCGCTGGCTTAGTCATTAACACCGCGGGTGGAGTATGGTACTCCGTTGCCAAACTCAAGCGAAGGAAATCCAAATCTTCCAAATCTATGCAGGAGAAACCATTGATACAAATAGGATCAACCAAGTAAACGATTGATCACAAAAGACGATCGTTCTCTCAGAAAAAATACAAAGAATGGAAGTTCCTAGCGGTTTTTATCTTGGATTTGGTCGAGCATGCTGGCCATAGTGCGTTCTTACGTGTCTTGTGAGATCCACCTTATATCCGAAAGAGCGCTCACAGCCAGAAAACCTGGAGAAAAACACGTTGGTTCTCGGGTTTTTGCAAACAAAATCGAGTTTTTCTTCTCTTACGTGCAGTGAAATGGCTTCTCTCCAGTATGTGTTCTCTTGTGACCATTGAGTGAGTTGAGCCACTTGAAGCTCTTTCCGCAGCCTTCGAAGGGACACACCAAGGGCCTGTCATCGCAGTGGATCTTTTGGTGGACAACCTACAAGAGAGAAAACCATTTAATCCAGTCACTCCGAGCACTCCTACGACTTACCAGACGTTCGCGGAAAGCAAAGCGCTTGTTGCATCCTTCAAAGGTGCATTTGTGAGCTCTCTCGTGCTTTTTTACGTGTCGGCTCAGTAGCTGCTTGCTGCTAAACCGAAGGCTGCAGTTCTCAAAGCTGCAAAGGTATGGTCTCTGGCCACTGGAGATGTAACCAAACTAGATCATATACGAGAGAAGTAGAGTCAAGCGTGAACTCACTTGTGCTCGTTTAGATGATCTCCAAGACTTCCTGGTGTTGCAAACCGCTTGTTGCATCCCGCGTGAGGGCAGTCGTGCGTTTTATCGATCAGCAGGAGCATTTTCTTCGTCTCGACGAGCATCTGCGAGAAAAGAAGAACTGGAAAACAGTCAGACCAGGCAAAAGAGAGAATGAAACACGAGAAGGTTTTCTACCTTCTCGTAGTGTACTACAGTGAGCTCGTGCCACGGGATTCCAAGTAGCTCGGCCGGAAGCTCAGCTGCCAAGGCTGATGATTCCGCTAAATTTTGGAATGCCATCGCCAGTTCTTGCAATTCGCTGCTCTTGAGCTGCTCAAACCTGGAATTCAAAGCAATCCTTCAGCGAAAGCATAGAAAAGAAGAAGAAAGAGTTGCTTACTTCATTCGCTTCCACTTTGAGAGATTTGGTTTTCGAAGGCTAGATTTCTTGCTCGAGCACTCCGGCCCAATCCTCGCATCCACTGCTGCGTTTACAAGAGCTTCCAAGCTGCCACCATATTGATCCGACACAACTTCCATTAGCCTCTGGTGAGCTGCATTGACTCACAACTGAGAAAGAAATCCAAACGGAAAAAGAGAAAACGAAGAAAGAGTTCTTCCTAGTTTCTATCTCACGTACCGAAAGAATCCAGCCGAATGACCACTTGCTTGAGCTTCTTGCGTTTCTTCACCTTCTTCTCCACCACACCGATTGGCAACTCATCGTGCGAGATCGCCGAGAATGTGGCGGCGGCCGCAAGATTTAGCGCGGCGTCTTCCTGCGCGCTGTGGATCCTCTTCTTCATCACAGCAGTGCTCTCTTGCTCCTCCTCGGCGTACCTCTTGCGAGAAGAAGAAGACGCGCCATTGCCGTCCTCTTCCTGCATTGTGGCACTCTTAAGCCCTAGATTGGATTAGATTAGGGCTCTTCAGGATGGGCAGCTTGGCGAGGCGCGCAGGGATCGCGATCGCCCGGCGCAGCGCTTGCATTTCCGCTCGATCGTACAGCAGCATCGATCGCAACATTGAAGAATTCAACCAGGTAGAGCAAGATTTCCTCCTTGAATCAGTCGTGATCGTGTGGAGTTTCCACAGGAGCTGGAAGAAATGTTTGGTGCTCCCCCTGCCGCTGCTGGCGCGCAAGGATTTCCAGCGAGAGATCCATCGTCCCAGAGCATCGCAGCTCCATCGATAGCTAGAGATCGATCTTCTTCTCTAACTCACGTCGATAGCTCTGGAAAGGCCTCGATGGTGGACGTCTCTCACAAGATGGACACCAAAAGGAACGCAGTAGCGTCCGGTAGAGTCCTCCTCGGCCCCGACGTCTTCCATCTCGTGGCCGCCAACAAGATCGCCAAGGGAGACGTCTTGACAGTGGCCAAGATAGCGGGCATCCAGGCCGCCAAGCAAACCGCGACGCTCATACCCCTGTGCCACACCATAGCTCTCAGCTCGGTGGACGTGAAGATGGCGCTGGACGAGGAGGCTAGCTGTGTGGAAGTCACCGCGGAGGCTAGCTCGGTTGGCCCGACTGGTGTGGAGATGGAAGCTCTCACGGCTGTCTCGGTGGCTTGCTTGACGGTGTACGATATGTGCAAGGCTGCGTCCAAGGCTATACAGATATCCGGCATCGAGCTCGTGTCCAAGTCCGGTGGCAAGAGTGGCGACTGGCATCGAGAGCAGAATTGAAGAAGCACTGTAAGATCTCTCTTTCTTTTCTTTTTTTCGTTTTCCTCCTCTTGCTAATATGTCGAGCTTTGGATCCAGATGGATGATGTGCTATGGATTTTGTAGCAAGGTATCACAGTCTCTAAACTCGAGAGCATTCTTTTCCAGATAGTTCTCCGCTAAGTTTCTCTCCATTGATAGTGTGTGATCTCTTTATAAGCTAATATCGCAATCCAGGTGGATAACGCTGCTATGGCTTCAATCACTTCATGGGCGACGACGAACTTGAGGTGTGGCGGAGAAACCAGACCAACGCTTCCTGGCTGCTGCTCATTCTCCAGGTAACCTCTAGTTTCTAAATGTCTTTGATTCACATTGCACATACAGGACGCTACAGTGCAAGCCGAAGAGGGTCTTGAGGTTGACAAGAATCGTGAGACAAGCGGACAACGATGAAAGGGAGGTCCCTCCTCCTCAAGAGCAGGAAATCCTTCCCGAGAGAAGAGAAGAGACGCCGAAGCCTAAGAAGAAGGGTACGTCGTAGAAGGAGTTGAGAATTATCCTGTTGTTTAAGCGTTTGTTCACTGGATAGATGATGGCGAAGTCACGGCTCGAATAACTGGAGCGCTTGCCGTGCTTTTGGGGATCGCATACCTTGCTCTCGTCCAGATTCTGGAGAGACGAGGTGGGAGCCTCGAGCCACCACCTCCGGAAGCGTATCTTCCTTAAATTTTGAGGTTCTAAGCTCGAAGAATTGTGAATCACGATCTCTTCTACACAGTTTGGCGATGAGCGGCTTGAGATCGTGGAGCGAATGCACCTTGAAATCGGGTCGCTGGTGAGGAGGGAGCTCGTCAATCTTGTAGCGAAACAATGGATCCACCAAGCAAGTCATCGCTCCCGCGCACGCAACATCGTATCGCCCACCATCAAAACTTCGCACGGCTTGGCGCCCCACATCTCGCAAAAGTTCTTCGCGTCGCTTGTGCTGCTCAGCGTGATCATCCCCCGACAGAGCTTCTTGGAGTCAATATAGCGGCATGCTTCTGCCACCCAGGGAGTGCGGATTTGTTGGACCTCCTAGCGTTTTCTATCGTCTGCAATGCCAGCTCCATTTCCTTTGCGGATGCGTAGACACGGTTGGCTTGCAGCGCCCGCAAGTTGAGCGTCCGGAGCGTTAGATCCAAATCAAGCACGACGCCACGAAGCACAGTGCAGCGGGTTACGGTACTTGGGACTTAACCTTCCCTAGGTTCTTGGCTACCTTTTGAGGGCTAGAGCCAGCCTTCAAAGTGTTGCAATTGCTGTTGAAAGCATAGAGGCTTGCTTCTCATGTTAACCATTTATCTTCCTCTTGATAACGTGATACGTTGTTTTGAGGCAGTGATCTAAGAAATTTTAAGATTCTTGATGTAACACTCACAGATCTTTTGAGATTATGAGCTAAGAATTGAGAGAGTTGGGTTATCATGACAAAGTCATGGCCAGAAAGCTTGATGTTTTTGAGGTTGTGAATTCAGAATTGTGTAAGTTGGGCTAGCATGATAAATTCATGGCTAAAAAGCTTGTGGTGTGGCACTGACAAATTTTTTAAGATTGTGAGTTGAGAATTAAAAGAGTTAGGCTAACATGATAAATTCATGACTAAAGAACTTCTGATGTAACACTCATAGATCTTTTGAGATTATGAGCTAAGGATTGAAAGAGTTGGGAGTCATGGCCAGAAAGCTTGATGTTCATGGAGATTGTGAGCTTGGTAGAGAAATGGAGTGTGAAATGATTGTGATGCTGTGATGAAACATTATGCTTTAGATTTGTGGAGTACTGATGTTGAAAAGGATAACTTGTGTAGCTATTACTGAGATGAGATGGATAATTTAAATCAATATTTTGTGTGAGGTCACACAATTTTAAAGGGGGGAGTAAGTGCTACAGATGTAGCGGGTTACGGTGGCCTGTACTTGGGACTTTAAACAGAATTGGGATGATGTGGCAAGGAGCTGGGTTCTTAAGGAGGAAGGTTCTTGACAAGCTCTAGGCATGATGGACAGAGAGCAGAGGTAGCGATTGAGAGAGGGGCAGTGCTTTGCATGCATGGGGTGTTAACACTTGATCTGAGGCTTGAGGTTAGATTCTTAAATTGTCATCTTAGCTAGGAGTCATTTTTATCCACATTCCATTCTTAATCCCTACAACATCTTTGCCATCTCTGTGAACCCTAAGCCTCACATTCATGTACCTTTTTCTAAATTATTCCAAATTATGGTTTTATATTAAAGTTAATTAAACAAAAATAAAATTAATGATAGTTAAAAGACTTTTTCTTCCTCCTCATTACTCTCCTCTTCGTCATCTTCACCTAATGATGACACATTGCTACACTTGGACTTATTAAGGGTTTCTTCCTCCAAGGCTTCTCTTGTCAATCAATCTTGTGAATCATCTTCTTATCATCAATGAACCTGTTCCCTTGCATCATCAAACAAAACCCCCACAGCAGTGAGTCAGGGCCCTCAAGCTTGGAAATGTCATGAGGCTGAATGTACCCCCTCAAACATAACTTGTGGAAACTCCTCTTCAGCATCCTTCTCCACATACCAAGCAATCTCAGACCACCACCCAAGTTCAGCTCCTTGCAAGAAAAAACCTTAGTAGCTTCCAATAATTATATGTTGTTGAACTCATCCTTGATATTTGCAGATTATGCTGAGTATGGAAAATGCCAGCACTAGAATTTGTTTCTTAATAGCGGCACCATTCATCGCTTGACATTGAATTGTTTAGCTTCCAGCAAATAAGCTATAGGCAATTTTTAGTTTTACTAGTGGTGAGAAATTGAGAATGATAACTTTTGGAAAGATTTTTCTTGCTACTGTACAACATGAGATAACTAATGTTCTATTTGTCCCACTTTCTCGCCACCTTTTATCCATTTCTATGCTTGCAAAGGATGGAGTTTAAACCTTCTTTCATCAAACAGTAGAAAATGTCATTTATGAACACATAAGTATTGCTCAAGCTGTTCCAAAGAATGGATATTTCTTTTTTCCTCTAATCTCTATTAGTGTTAATACTGTCTTGGTGTCTAATAATTTATAGCTTTAGCATTGAAGACTAGCACATGCAAATTATAGATAGGTACTACTATTTTGATTTTGCATAGCATACCATCTTTGAAAGGATCAAACAAGGGAATATATAGGATTGTCTACGAGTAAAGATGAAGAAAAAGCCACTTCCAAAAAAGGCTATGACAAGAGGTATTTCAATTTTAGATCTTATTCACATTAATATTTGGGTCTCTACTTAAATCTTTGAATGCAGCCTACTATTTTTTTACTAATAGTGGACAACTTTAGTTAGTTCACCATGGTTTCTTTCCTTTAAACAGAAATTAAATGCACTAAAAGCTTTCCATGACTGGATCCAGACAATAGAAAAAGAACGTGATTGATCAATACACGTGCTTCAAGTAGATGGTGGTCAGGAACTTCTCCTTATCTTCATGAAGAATTTCCCTCCAGATCTCAGTGCCATACAAACAGGGCCAAAATGGTTGTGGAGAGGAAAATGCTCATAATTCTTAATTCATCCCATATAATGCTCAAAGCCATGCATGTTCCTATATTTTTCTGGGCTAAAGCTATAAACACAGTTGTTTATGTCCAAAATATTCTTCCCACCAAAGTGGTTTTGAACAAGACACCAAAAGAACTCTAGACTAGTAATAAGCCTACTCTTTCATATTTACAGGTGTTTAGTTGTAAAGAATATTCATACATTTCAAAGGAGGAACATAGAACAAAGTGGGAAGATCACTTCATGAGATGTATGATGCTTAGTTACAATGAAACTACCAAAGGTGGGTTCCACATGTGGATTTTCAAGCAGAAAAAGGTTCTAGTATACATGATGATATTCTTTAAGGAAATGGTTCTAATGTATTTAATCTCCTCAACACGCAAAAACATCAACTCTAGATATATTTTACCTTCAAATCTAACCACAGAGCTTAATGGATTGCAGTGAATTTCCTGGTACAAAAACATCACTATTACCTTATAGAGACTTCCTTTAGAACCCCCACCAGAAATCCCCCACCACCATCACCACTACCACTGGAGGATACACACTTGAACAACTCCATCACTGAAAGTAGTCAAATTGGTTTTGATATTATGAATGAAAAAAGTGAGCCAGTATTTTAAGATACTCCTAAGTCATAGAATGAACTTGATGACTATAGCACAGCTCAAGATCCTACAGCTTGATGTTCAACATGAGCATGGAAGCCCACACAATCAATCCTGCATTATCAATAAGAGAAACAAGCATTTCAGCATGTTTCATTACTTTGGTTGTAATCTACTTATAAAGACTATTGTTCCTATCCAACAGTTTGGGAGACTTTGATCCAAGCTAAGCATTACATCAGCCAAAGGGGAGTAAAAAGCATGTGTTCAAACCTTCAATCAAAATCTTATCAAGGAGTGTTGGAGCAAGACTAATTTAGTGGTCATACTAAATTAGTATGAAAAATTTAGTAACCACAGTTTTTACTTTAAAGTGGTGTGGACTAAATTTAAAGTGGTCCATACTATTGTATTGTGGATTTAGTGTGGAAAATTAAATGATCACACTAATAACCATTTGAAGGAGTTTCACTCACAACCTCTATAGATTTTTATTCCAATTTAAAGTGTTTGCCAAGATCCCAAAAGTGGCTTCAAAGCCACACTACCTTCATACTTGATCTAAATGCTCCACATGTCTAAGTCCTATCTTAAACACCTAAAAGTACCTTTGATATACCAATGTCTTATGTTAAAATCATGCCCATTCTTACTATCTTATTAGTAGTCCAAAGCCATTTATGCCATGAATCCATTTTTCCAAGACTAGCATTAAGTTCTAATAACCTTTAAAACTTCCTCACTATACCTTAGGTTATTAAGCAAGAGGATCACTCTTTGTTTTTTTCACAGTTAACGAGTTTAGGATGATAGTTTGGATCATGCTTTATCTTTTCCACAATAAAGGATTTTAGGATGATATTTTAAAACACAAGCCTTGTGAGTACCCTCTCCACTTTTTGCCACTAGAGTGCCCTATGTAAGCTCTTGAATTTGAACTTTTTAGGAGGTTAGTCAATTTAGTATTATTCAAATCCAAGAACATTTAACCCTAAGTATTATAAAACTTTTAATCGATTGGAAAAGGAAGTGCACTTTTGTTTATAAGTCTTTTCTCTCTATATTTCCCTATAGATCATTTCTCGAGTTGTTCTTTTTAGTTTCTTATAACCTAACCATATGGCTAAAACAAGGTTTCAATGAGCTACACAAAGTATCCAAGTAAATAATGCCACCCACTTGAATTGGGACTATATGATCTCCTAGAGGAGTTAAAGTCAGCTCTTGAATACTTCACTAAGTCACCTCACTTATCCCACTATAGTCGCCAATGGAAACATGTCATATCCGAGACTGAGTCCAAGATAGAGTCCCAAACTAAGTTTGAGATAAAGTTAATGATATTAAGGGTTTAGTCTTGAAGGAACTCTTTAGTGGTATTTTTAAATCAAGTTACCGTTAGGATTGGGGGTTAGTAGCATTGGGTGGGAGTGAACATGGACTTGCGGATTTTGCTTTTGGGTATTGGCAAGTGTTAATAGTTAAGGAAGATATTTTTAAGACTACTTTTTGTATATCATTTGGTTTGTACGAGTTTTTGATGATGCCATTTGGTTTAAACAATGTTTTAGCAACATTTTAGTGGAT